AACGATGATGTTTCCATTGGAAAAGAATGATGATATTTCATTATCAAGGATAATGAAAGATGATGTGGTTCAACAGGGTAAGGATAACCTTGGCACAATTTGAGGAAGTCAAAAGGGTTAAATCATATCCCCGACAAATCTGGCAACAAACGAATCTCCTTTGATCCCGCAAATGAACTGAAAGAGAGCGACTATAAGAATGAGATCCTACCAGTCAATAAAGGTATGACAAAAAAAAAATTATTAAATCCCAACCTTTCTTTTATACCTCCGGTGACTGACTTGATCATCGGAGAGCTCTTGGCAGGCACCACACCGGTGCCGTCAAGATTCGTCGATCTTCTACTCTCTTCTTTACAGGAAAACGGTGTGGTATCGGACCGTGTGGATTTCTCCCCTAACAATAATATTAATCAATTTCATAATAATCTTATTGGATTGATTTAAAGAAGAAATCGGGAACGAAATCGAATTAGGAACACTAGATGTTGTTTTTCGGATTTTCCGTGAGATGCCAAACTATTGGTGTTAAGGCCAAAGAACAAAATTAAGGCCCCTAGGCATGTGGGAAAAAAATAATAATAATAAATTAATTAATTAAGAAAAGAAAAGAAGTGAGAATCAATTCAACAAAAAAAATAAAATAAATAAAATAAAAAATAAAAAATTTATCATTCAATAAGTGAACATCATTCAATATAGAAGTACGATTGTACTCTATGTATAATCATTTACATGAATTTCAAATTTTACTATTTTATTTAATCTTTCATGTAAGGTAAAGGAAACATGTTTCAAGTTCAAGAACGAATACTGAACAAATATGGTGCTCTTGGTTTTGATTGTATTGAGTTGGCTAATAGAGTCTCAAGTCTCAAGCATATTTGGAAGATATGTTCTAGAAGGAGCAGCCTCTGAGTGGATTGGATATAGAGGTATCTCATCAAGGCTAAGAGTTTTTGGACTGTTAAACCAGCCTCACTCAGTTCTTGTTTTTGGAGGAAGCTACTAAAGCAGAGGAACATGGCAAGAGGGGTAATCAAGCACAGAGTTGGAGCTAGAACTGACACTCTGATGTGGATAGATTATTGGCTACCAAATTGACCAATATGTACACACCTGGGTCTTTCTGGGGTGAAAATTCTTCAACTTGACACAAGTGCCAAGGTTGATAGCCTAATTTCGAACTCTCAGTGGACAATCCCAGCTTCCCTACAACATATCCCTTTCTTCCTCTCTAACTCTTTCACTACTCAGATTCAAAGCTTGCAACCTCCACCATTGTTACATGATTTGATTAAATGGTTACCAAGTACTCCCATTGGATTTTCCCAGAAGCACACTATGGAATATTTTAGCGCCTCCTTCATTGTCATTTATTTGGCACAAGCTCATTTGATTCAAACATCATATCCCAAAGCATAGCCACATTACCTGGCTAGCAATGAAAGAGAGACTTTACACTCTTGACATCAAACCAAAGAAGCACAAACACTACACCAATGCATGCTACTTGTGCTTATCTGATTGGGAATTAATCAGTTGATCACATATTCTTCAAATGTAAATTTAGTAGCTCAATATGGGATTTCATTCAACATGTTGTTGGATTCTACATTAGACCTAACTGTTAGAAGGACCTCATTTTATGGTGTTCAAACAATGGGCACATGAAGCACTTCACCACTCACAAGCTCTTGCTCTCAGCTGCTGTCTATTACATTTAGCATGAAAGAAATGCTAGGGCCTTCAGGAACGAATCCTCAAATGTCCAGCACACCATGTCTCATCAAATGCTGCATTATAGCAAGACTTACATCACTGTCATTGAAGAGTGGAGCTGAGATGATCGAACCATTGAGGATATCCAGAAGTCGTTCTTAGAAGGTTGTTCATTTGCTAGAGGATATCCCTGGCTTCTCTCGAAATGACTCATCACATATATGGTGGGTTGAAATGGTTTTTGGGATACTGCAGGGTTTTTATCTTTGCTCTCATGCTTGCATGTTTCATGTATAAGGCTTGTTCTTGCTGATTTTTTTCCATGTAAGTTTTTGGGGTTCGGTTGGAGGGCTCATTTGGTTACCCTTATTGTTGTTGTTTTTGTTCCTTGTTCTGTTCTCCCTCAATTGGGGGCTCCCTATACATTCTTCTTTCTTCTATAAATGCTTACCCTTTAACTAAAAATAAAAATCGAATAGGGAACAATTTGCATTGCCACATATAAGTCTCTTTGTTGTTTTTACCTTACCATTGGTAAACATAATTTTTTTACCACATACTCAACATCCAAGGAAATACACTGTGTTCATAATATGTTGTTGATTTTGATCTTAATGATTTACACGAGGTTGTAAAGTGTCATTTTTTATTTAATTTTTTAAATAATTTATTAAGCTAAGATTGTAAAGTGTCACTTTTATTTAATTTCTTTAAATAATTTATTAAACATCAACTGCAAGCCCTCTTAAAAACTTCTAATTTTAAACGTGGGCATTTAATATGGGCAAAAGGGTTTGCTTATTTGTTTTTGATTTAGGAAACTTAAAATAACAAACAGGCCACTGACCTAGCGGTACCAAGCTCCTACTTCTCGAGTCTCAATCGAGGCATGTGTGTTTACAATATGATCCTTAGATTATATCAGTAGAGTCCTAATCCCTAGTAGCTTCCAATTCCTAAACATACTCGGACAATGCGGCAAGACTCTAATTTTAGAAACATCATGGTGAAACGCAAATCTATATATAAGTTGGTGACTTGCAAAACTGAGAAAACCATGTTCTGAAACTGAGCAATAGGAAAGAAGCAAATTAATAAATTCCATTAGTAAGCCAAACTTATTTTTTTTGTAAATTGGACCTGGGGTAGCCCATTAAAAGCTCCAGCCCATGAAAGGTCCTTCTTTTTCTTCTTCTTCTTGTTTTTTTTTTTTTTTTTTTTGGATTAACTCATCGTGCAATTGGTGTGTGTGAGAGTAGATGAGCCAAAATTATTGAGTTTGGAAATATATATATATATATAGAACTTTTTATTTTTCTTTTTTTGGTGGTTATTGTTGCTTTAGAAACTTAAAAATAAGGGAAAAGTGTGTTGATTTAGGAAACTCGGATTATATTACTTGAGTCCTAATCCCTAGTAGCTTCCAATTCCTAAACATACCCGGACAATGCGGCAAGAAAACCCGTACTCTAATTTTAGAAACATGAGGGTGAAAAACGCTACTCTATATATATAAGTTGGTGACTTGCAACACTGAGAAAACCATGTTCTGAAACTGAGCAATAGGAAAGAAGCAAACAAGCTAGAATGACTAACAAGAACCAAAGAAGTGATGATGCCTCCTCAAAATTTGTATCTTCACTAAATGATATTTATTCACCGAAAAAGAAGAAGAAAACCTCCTCAAAAAACCCAAATCCTTGTACAACAGGAGGACCACTTCCAGAAGATATGATCTTAGACATACTCTCAAGACTCCCGGTGAAGTCCCTCTTGAGATTCCGATCCGTCTGCAAAAGCTGGCACGCCACCATCCACAACCCTTCCTTTGTGGATTTGCACTTAACCCAATCTCAATCACAAACTCGTCCCCCCCAATTCCTTGTGTCTATCTCGGATTCGGACTCGGACCATTACTTTTACTCTGTAAGTGTTGAAGGAGGGCCACCGGTCCATCTTCTATCGCTGCCCGGCTGTAACAAGAATGAAAGCAGTTCGCCTTGCGAGTGCTATGTTTCCGAATGCGTTAACGGATTAGTATGTTTCTCTACAACGGCCATAATGTCTATGTCATCAACCCTAGCATTCGGAGATCCATAACCCTACCGCCGCCTGCAAGTGATTACAATAACTGTAAACTTGATGAAGATGGATATGAATATTATTCTAGTTATTCTTTTGGATATGATCCTTCAAACAACGAGTACAAAGTGTTGCACATAATGGGTACGCGTTATACGCGCACCAGGAGGTTATCTGACCTGCAATGTGAAGTGTTCACATGATGATGATTATGATGATGATGTTGGGTCCTGGAGAAAAATCACCCATGTTCCACCACCTTGTATGCCGAGAAGCCAGTGTATTCGTGTCGATGGTGTGACGATTTACCCACATTATGGCTTTAAAGAAGAAGGTGTTTGTGTCAATGGCGCCATACATTGGATCTGCTCCAAGGCTTCGACTCCAAGTGATGAAGAAATTCTGGTGGTTTTTGATGTTGGTAACGAAAAGTTCCGATGGTTGCCACTTCCTCCTCATGGTGTCTGTCCCAAGTATAGTTTGACCAAAATGTTCCCATCGTTACCACTTCCTCCTCATACTGTCCGTACCAAATATAATTTGACAAAAATTGAAGGGCGTTTGGCTTTATTGAACCGTATGGATCGTGATGCCAGTACCACAGAAATATGGTTATTAGAGGAGAATTGTCACCAGAAGTGGGTTCAGAAGACTGTTGTGGCTCCACAAGAGTACGAAATACTTTTCACCTTAATGTTGTCAAATCCTGAGTTGCATATGAAGAAGCTGCACTTTTAATTTTGTTTATTGGGATCACATGAATTACAAGGCTTCCATGCCTATTATATTGGGGGAGGTACCTTCTTGTTGGCCTGTTAGTGTTGATATCGCAAATCATGTGGATAGTTTATCTTTGATCGTAGGAAAATAATTACTACCACTAATAATTAATAAATTCCATTTTTTTTTTTATTCTGTGATATTTTTAGTCCCCATTGTGTTTTCCATTTGTTAATAAAATGTGTGTTTGTTATCCAATTTTTCTTAAACTCTACTTTCCTTGTGCATTTGAATTCGCACGCACTTAATTTCCTGCTTTTATACGGAGGCCTTTACTCATAGATATTGATGGTTGGTTGTTGCAGAGCAATTGCATCTGACCAATTCCATCCATAAAAACAGTCAAAGGAGCGTCTTACTTCCCAAACAGACGATTCTACATCTGTATATAAACCCTGGTTTATCAAGAATACGCATATCAAATCCTATATAATATATATATATATATAAAGTTAACAATTCAAGTATATCTCCTCTCTAACACATCAGCAAGATAATAAATTACTAATATTAAAAATTGGAGAAGTGACATCTCAGATCACCTCCTACAATGTTTAAAGCCATGCGATGAATTACAACAATGAAAATTTGAACTGGCTCTTGTGCACTAGACCCAGGTATTAACTTTTAAATTTATGCTTTGACTATATATATATATATATATATATATATGTAGCCAAGAGAGACCAAAATGTTGTAGCACTGTTCCTGCCTTGCCAACTGGAGAATATCAAAAAAGAGAGAAAAATTATTGTGAATGGAACAATTAATTAGAATAAAACTTTATATGTTGGTGAGCATGGAAACAACACCTTGACATTGAAAATGGAATAAATTAGTTTAATTTACTAATTTTTCTCCACTTCCAAGGCGGCGATTTCATGCTTCCAAACACAACAAACTTGAGACCTTAAACATGATAAGAAAAAATAAAGGAGGTAAACCTTCAATATGTACAACACAAAAACCGAAAAAAAAAAAAAACATACCCGGAATACAACGTTAGCACATCTCAAGCTTCTTTCCTAGTTATCCTGATATTCAAATTTGAAGATTTTTTAGAAACCAACACTATATGCCGAAAACAACAATTCTAAAAATTCGAACTGCAACATAAATTTACTTGACCACAATCAACCACTCCATCGTACAGTTTAAAGATAAAAAATCAAGTTACTTTTGTTTTGGAAAATACAGCTTAGATGCAGCTCATCAGCACATAACAATATTTGGCAGAGAACTAAAACGACAAGGTTCTGCCAGATTAGAAAATTAGGTCCAGTACAAACTAATAATTACACTAACCACAGACACAAAACAGGTTAGAAACAGCTTTAAATTTAGACAACCGGGAATATAAACCAATTGATAAAAACATATTTGATTATGTTAAGCATGAATCTATAAGAAAAAACTCAAGATTTCAAGAAATTCTATCCCTCCCTCTCAAACGAAATAGAAGGCATTGTCTGTTTGGCACAAGATACACATTATACCAACGAATTTATTAATATACTACGTAGGTCAAACACCACATTTCTCACCTGAAACAGTTGATTCCCAAGGCTGTAGTTATTTCGTGAATGACCGATGTTGCAAAGTGCAGATATAGTCCCCCTGGGTTCAGCCAAAAAGAATTGTAGGCCACAGAACATGACCAATAACATCAATTATACAATTGAAGACTAAATATCGTTTTATGTTATTAGAGGAACTGAATTCCAAAAACAGAAGTCTAACAAAGCTCAAAGCACTAAACACAACATCAAGCACTTACAAGTTTTCATATTCAATAAACTTCCAATTCAAAAAAAGGAGAAGGGGGGGGGCGGGGGGGGGGGGGGGGGGGGGGGGGGGTTGTAAATGAAGAGAGGAATTTCTAGAAACTGGAAATATACATGAACAAAAAAGGCAAAGTCCTCGTACCTGTGTATACACAGTAAGCAAGGAGAACCGACCTCTCATCAACTACAGGAATTCTGCCACAAAAGAAAAGATTTTTGTGAGTAAATCAGAATAGATGTAAAGGACAAAGATAACCCAATTCCCTACTGAAACGAATGGGAACTATTTGGCATTCATTAACCTGTGCCAGATAAATAGATATATAACATACCCATCATTCAGTCTGGCAGTGAGAGCATTTGCAATGGCAAAAGGGAGACACAACAGAGACTGCAAAATGGAAGGAACGTGTTAAAAACATGTTATTCTCTTATCACTTATATGTTGAAAAGTTCAATAGAACAATTCGGTAAATCTCACCAAGTACAGAAAAAAGCGGGAGAAAAGTTAAAACTGTCCTGAATCTACGCCAAGCAAGCAATTTAATAAATTTTACAAGCATGGCATATTAGCCCTATGAGCAAGCATACTCTGAATTTATAGCATAGAATATCAAACTCACTATGATATACCCACTGATCTAACAAAATAGGCCATTTTTTCCGAAATTTCCACTGAAACAAATTTGGCTTACTAATGAGCTTGTATTGCAAAAAAACAGATGTCATAAATATAGATCCAGATCCACCATAAAAAAATAATTCAGGCCAGATCATCCAGCAAACATCATGGATTTTGGTCAACAAAATCGGGTGCAGATTAAGCACCCAAAACCTGATCAACCTAAGAAAATTCAACTATTACATTAACCTTTTAATGTGCTAGAGAAATTGCTGCTGTTGTAAAAGATGTGTTAATAAAACGGGAAAGGGGGGGGGAGGCTACTTTTTAAATTCATTAAAAGATGGTAGTCAGTATGCTCCTAAAGAGAATAAAGTCCACATAAGTTGTTATTATCAGAAGTTCTAGGTTTAAATAATACTGCTCTATATTTATCTATTTGGCCGATCAGAAATCTCCTTAGATGATTTTTCGAGAAACAGTACCTATGATTCCAGAAAATTCGGTTGAACTGTAAAGACGTTTCAGCTTCCTAAACATTTCTCTGTACAAAATGTACTGATTCAAACTATTCAAAAGACTTCTGCTTCGTTAAATTAGAGACTGACAAGCAACATCCACTAAAGCCACCAACAAGAAGAAAAGAAGGAAAACATAAACCATGAGTGGAAATGAATTTGGGACTACAACATCTGTTTCAGGAGTGCAACATACCATACACATATTAGTCTTTAAGCCCTTGGGTTCATCACACAAGTGAGCCAGAATCATCCTTCCCTGTCAAAACAGGATTAACTTCAGAAAAATATGATGACTAAGAGAACGAAGATTCAGAAGAATAATCAAATTTTGCACTGTTATAGCTATCTAAATGATAATACAAGTGAAAGAAACATGAACCCTAACAAACAAAGCATAATTACCAACAGAACACATGGCAAAAAGAAAAATATAAAAGTGATCAGAAAAGCTATAATAAATACAGGAAGCAAGATAGTTTATATAGGTATACAAATTAAGTCAGTACTTTTCACTATGGGCAATAATTGAGACAGCAAACTTTACAATTAGAAACATATGGGGCCTAATAGGCTTTCAAGCATTTAAGTCTAATAAAAACCACAGTTTGTGTATCTCAGAATGTTGATGGATTCACTTGAAATCCTTGATGTGTTTTATTGGAGAACGGCTGGCTTTATGTTCCAACCCAGAAGACTAATCCTTGACCTCCAAGAGACTTTACCAACTGACTAGGGATCCGAAAAAATCGATGAAGCGGAAGAAATCCGAGCGAATGGAAAGGAAAAAACAACTGATGGCATCTTCCAGGAAATGCAAGATTGCTAATGAAACACACAACTTCCATTGAAAGTCTGCAATTAATGATTCTCTCACTAGCAAGGTATGAAAAATTGGTCAAACATAAGGCCCTCACAATCACAGGTAGCTACACCAATGAAAATCAATGCAAATTTATCTCATACAAAAAAAAAAAAAACCTGAGAGAGAGAGAAGATGAGGAGGTAAACGTGGAGGAAATTTATGTAGATCTGAACCAAACAAAAACGGCAATGTTAAGAAGACAGACAGAAGGGAGAAGTTTTATTCTGATCTATCTACTCTAAGCAAAGAGGAAAGTAACGATAGGTGATGGATGCGTGAAGCTATTCTTCACAAGAGTACTATCTTATGAGAGACAAATGATGTGCAGTGAAAGTTCTACCATGTAAAAGAAGCAATGTCATGATGCACAGAAATAAATACACCACTGCCAACTCATTGCCCAATTATTATGTGTTTCAGTCCATAAATGGGAGAATCAGAGTGTTGTCGTGCATGGTCAATCATAATAAAGGAGGCATATTATAAATAGTCTCACCAGATTGACAACATCTGAGAAGGTTAATATCAGACAATTTGTTACTTGGCACAAATTTCCAACATATCATGATGTAATGTACTTCTACTACAGATTCGGGACCGCCTTCATATTACGCAACCTTGAACGAATGCTAAATAATTAAAATTAGAGGAAGAAACCAGCTTGTGTTAACTGAAGAATCTTGCAGAACTCGTTTCAAAAATGCAAGAGTGGTTTCCGTTGAAAAGGTAGTAGGTCAATGAAGTATAATATAAACCAAATGCACAACTTATTTCCAAAATATGTTATATTAAGTATTCATCATCATCATCATCCTTGCCCTTATCCCATATGGATGGGGTCAGCCACATAAATTCTCTTTTTACACCATGTCTGTCTTATATTTAATTTTTTTAAATCATTTTAAATTACTTCATCTAATGTAAATTTTGGTCGGCCTCTTTGTTGCTTACCTTCTAGGCAAACAACTCTTCCTCTTCAAACCAGGCATCTTCTGGTCTATATTGTATATCGCCATACCACCTAAGTCTACTTTCTCAAATTTTATGATTAGTAGGCATTATTACTAGATTTTCCCACACACATTCATTATTTATCTTATCTCTTCTAGTCATTCCTATCATCCACCGTAGCATCCTCATTTCCGCTATATAAATGTGTTGTTCTCATTTATTTTCTCAACGCCCAAAACTCAGCACCTAACAATAAGACTGACTAACACGCTTAATTCCTAGTTTGTTTTCATCATAATGCAGCTTTTACCCAATGAAAGATGTTGACCGCTAAAGCTTACACCAAGGCAGGCACACAAGTTTCCAGAAGGACCAGAACTATGTAATGCACCAACAGAAAGCATTCAGCAAGAGACATCATCTTCACCAATAATACACCACTGCATGGACAAGTGAAATCCTAGGTCTTGAAGGATCTACAGAATAAATTACATTTCATACGGTGACCATTGTAAATATGAGAGGTAGATAAATAACTATGAATTCTTAGGCGCTAAATCAGCAAAACGCAAATGACCAGGGCAATGTAAGCAATAGAGTGAAGGCCAAATACTATTTCTGCAGGTCTGTGATAAATGTTAACTAAACACATGTAACCTTGCCCCATGCAAGTCAAATTTCTAACATACAAGAGATTAAACAACAGATATCTTACCACAAGGAACCCAAATGCAAGTCCTGTTCCCAATACAACTAGATGTGGATAGTTCCCCGTTATATCATATGGAGACAAATAATCCCTGCACAGAGATTAAGATCCGGTCTGAAAACAAAAATAATCCTCAAAAGCTAAACGTGTAAAAAATAAAAAAGAATAGGGCAAACAACTATATACCACACAAGGATTCCTCCCAAGAGGACAGCAAATGGATAAAGCTGACATGGACAACAAGACATATGTTAAGCAACTCCAGAAATAAGAGACAAAGTAAACAACAAGAAACATGTTTACCATTGCCAATGCAAGAAGCATGCTTCCTTTCCTTGCCTGAACAACCTTATAAACGTTGTAAATACTGCACAAATGTATCATGCAAAGCAAGTTCAAGTTAAATGTCAGAGAAATGAAAAAATAATAAGAAGCCATAAATGTGAGCTCTGGCATTAGCAATCTTTCTCCTAAGATTCAGACCAATGTAATCATCCTAATACAATTCCAGAATTGTGAGAGATTAATCTTGATTGCTGTATTCTAGATCATCTTGCTAAATATTTGGGGAAAGTTGAATGATATAGACATTTAATCAAGAACAAGTCCACAACCACACCAACGACCCAGTAGGCGGTGACAACAATGATGATGTAGTTCTATCGTATGTCAAGAATGTGGGATCAACAACTTCAGTGTAAGTCCAACAGAATAAATAATAAATTCACATGATTTATATTAACATTATTCAATCTACCAGAGAATACGCAGACATAAGGTCATAATAAATAGAAAAGTGTCATGTATATCAATACATACAAACAGATGAGTAAAGTAAACTTCTGTCACTAATAGGAAAAAACCACTTACTTGAATGAGATGGTTGGTATAACAGCAAAAGCTATCATTAAAAACAACGCAGCTCTGAATGTTGGGATTTCTAGAGAAGAAGAAAAAAAACAAGACAGACAAAATTGAGCCAAATTTTTAAACGTGTTATAAAAATAAAAAACAAAAAGTACTAGTAAAAATAACAAAAGGGGGTTCTTTCAAAACACTGAGCAAGGCAAGTAGCAAAATGCAATGGTGATCAAGAGTGTGCATCATGATTTTAGAAGAAATTGAGCCAAAAAGGGAAATTCCAACCCTTTTCCTGGACAAATATAGTCAATCTTGGAAGGTGAAGTACAGCTGGTCTTATTCTGTAGTACTAGTATGCTAGCAAGGTAACACCTAATACAAATATATGCAGTCCAGGGAATAGGTATCTAGGTATTCCAACAAAACCAGATGAGATTTAAAACGAAAAATCTTAAATAAACAATAAATAAAATAAAATAAAATTGGTGTTAGTGCAGACATATAAGAAGAGGGAATACTGAAAACCATCTCAGAGACCAACAATAAAATAAAATAATATAAATAAATAAATAAAAAACAATCATATAGAAGTCTAAAAACACTGTCAAACATAATCTTTCATGGAAGTTGAAAAACTAAGGCCATGAAACAAGTAGAATAAAACAAATTATAAAAGTAGAACACAAGCAAACCTAAAAGACAAAACTTCCTGCTATAAGAGACCAATGGTTCTTTTGGTAGGAGAGAAGGTGGAAGGAAAGAAAGAGAGGAAGGAGAAGAAGGGGGGACATACTTCCATGATTTGGTGAAAAAAAAAAAAATGGAATAGGGTAAGAAAGAGAAGAGGGAGAATCTCCCGCCCACTTTTTCCTCTCCTATTCTTCCGAAAGACGACTTCCTCATTTTCATTCTGCTCAAACAAACAAAAGGGAAGGAAATCCCCTTCCTTTTTCCGAACATACCCTTTCCATCCCTCTTACCTTGCCTTCCAATTTTCCATCCCTCATACAAAAATGAGCACAAAAATTACAGTGAAAAAATCAAGTATGATAAACACAGGCAGCAAGAGAAAAGATGCGAATAAAGTTAATATAAATTGTTTGTTCCCAAAATAATCAGTTCCTGGAAATCCCATTCTATCTATTAGTCTTACCATGTACAAATGGAACCCAGCTAAAAAAGGGCAGAGACTTTCCAAAATTTTGAGCCCACCACTCAGCACCTATAAGAGACATGGACTTGATTAATATTAAAGTGAAATATAGCAAAACATGGGGAAAAATACATCATGAGGTAGATGGAATTTATTAAATAGATACATACTTGTGTAAATAATGAATGTCAAAGGGTGTATGAATGGCAAAGCAGAACAAAAAATGCATCATCAGATATAATATGTGTGTGTGTAACTTACCAACTATAGCAGTGAAGAAATGTGCCATGTATATCAGCATGAGGCCCTCTGTAGGTCCATTTACCGCTGGAAGTATAAGGGTATTGGTGAAATAACTGCACAAAGGGAGTGCAACAAATTAGCAACCGTAATTATCAATTTTAAGTCTAATCCATAGGAATCAACAAGAAGGTGATTTGCACCCAGAAAACTCAATGAGATTCAGAGCAGATCCACCAATATGATTCCATACAGAAAACATATAGAGAATTACAAAATAACTTATAAAGAATAAATAAAATTTAAAGATCCCTATTAAAGAAATTTATCTTAGATTTTTCAGAGTCTAACACTGCCACTTAACTGCAGAATCAAGGAAAGATCATTGAGGTAACATATATGGTATAGCAATCTCAAAAGATAAAAAATAAAAAGGAAAGAAAATAAAAAGGAAAGAAAAAATAAAAGAAAAAGACATCGTCCATTCTTCAAGCTGTTCCTCCTACCATAATCACGGTCTCCATATACCAAGGAACAGTTAAGAACCAACAAATAGGCAAGTTCCATCTTACTAGGAATTCCTTTATGCATGAAAAAAGGCTCCAGTTTACCTAAACACTATTTATTGGGCATCAAAGAGAGGAAAAATAATAATCAATGCCATTCTTCACCACCTCCCCCACCCATTATTACTAACTGTTCCCCATATTAATTTTCCAAATGATAATTTTAAGAATGACTTAAAATGCAAAGAATAGGTATTACTTAAACCCACTTACTGTTCCCATGTTGCACCAAAAAATGGAACAGCTGAGATCACCCAAAACCAGAAAGTACTTCTTCCACACATGGCAGTGCTCCCAAAGGCCATGGCCTCAAACTGATAAATGTCATTAACAAAATATTTAGGACGTACACTTTCTATGGCCACAAAAATGACAAATAAACAATAGAAGTATTGAAGTACATACCGCACATGCAAGAGCATCACATCCTGCAGTATTTGTCAATGCCAAGAAACATATTTAATTAATATATTCAGCAGTCACATAAAAAATGAAAGAGAACCACATGAGAAAGAAAAATTACCATGATCAAAAAGCTCCCCCAATGGACTAGATGAATTTGTTCGTCTTGCTTGCTTCCCGTCAACAGCATCAAAAGTCTGGCATGCATTTGAAGGTTAAAACAAAAATTACTAAGATTAAAATCCCATTATAAAGTTATAAACAAGAGGTGAAAATACCACACAGGCTGCCATCTCAGCACCATGTGCCAGGGTAAAGTATGCCACCACGGCTACACGTGTACTATGGATTCAGGTAGACACACCAGGTATTTTGAACTAGATACGTATACACACGCACTGTAACAGGCCGAGCGCTTAACATCTGACCCAAAAGCTTAAGTTGTTGGGTGGTGCTGCAGACCCGCCCTTATAAGCCCAAAATCCTCCCCATTCGGATCCAATGTGAGACAAGAACACTCTTCAACATTCTCCCTCACCAAACTTGAAACATCTTCATTGTTGTCAGACCACCCTATCTACATATCCCCCCCTAACGGCGAGAGGACCCAATAATGATGCGCACCGAGACACCACCCAAGTGGACATTTGGCGTGACACTAGGCCTGCTTGCTTTGATACCAGTTGTAACAGGCCGGGCATTTGCCATCCAACCCAAAAGCTCAAGTTGTTGGGTGGTGTTGCATTCCCACCCTTATAATCCCAAGGTCCTTCCCATCCAGATCCAATGTGGACAAGCACCCTCTAACACACACACATACATATAAACAAATAAATATTCAAGATCCAGATCTTAACTCAAAATACCAGGAGAATGGTTGAAAAATGCCACCTACTGGATAGAAATCGCGTAAAAGACTTGTTATTGTGGTTTCAATTTTCTATGCTATACCAAAATAAATAGCTGAAGTATCAAAATATATATTTTTGTTTCCAGGTTTAAGCCTTCAAGAACACAAATCCACATGTGGTCAAATGATGTAACTATGTATCCTAATTCTGTTAGCATTCAACACCAAATATGGAAATACCACAATATAGACCTAAAAAAGCAAACAACAGAGTTGTAGAACCATCACCTTAAACAATGCCTGATAAAATCAAATAGACAAGACCAAAAAAACCCAAAATATATAATCCATAAAACCTTACAAGCTGTCACGTTGAGCAAACATGCACACTAAAGTACAAACACATGAAATGCAACCATACCATAGCAGATCAGAAGAACATGAAACTGCTTGCAGAAACTTAAGCGAACCTGATATAAGAAGAGAAGTAATCCATGTGCCAAATGAACCCATCTTGGTGGAGCCGAATCCAAATGAGGTGAATATATCTGAAACAAATCCGCTTGTAACATAAACTCCAGGAACAAAAACTTATCATGGACAAACTATGACTTGAAAATTTCTAAACTACGCTAAAATTCAAGCAATTCCAATGAAGTTGCAAGCAAAATTTGCCATGTCATCAACAGGGACACCTTCAAACATGAACTTAGCTCAGTGACGGGATTACTTGCCAAACGCATAACATAACTCATCAACAAAATTATATATGTCATGCTTCTTATATGCACGGAGTTGAATACCGCTGCTACTGCAAGATTCAGGTCACTAATACGGTTTTCAAAACCACACCAACTTCCAACTATCACAATTCCACAACCACATGCAACGTCAGATTCTCAAGAAAAACAAGCAATTCAAAGAATGCTAACCATTGTTATCTATGAACTTATAACAATGAAATAATGCAACCTGAAAATAGGAAATATTTAAAATAAGAACCTTAAAAGCAATATAAGGGACTTTGCAAGAACTAATCCTGTTAACTATATTATTAAATTTGGTAGTAGGGATTTTAACTAGAAGAGAAAAGGTTTGACACTTCAACTCAAATCAAAGGCTCCGCATTGAAAAGAAAAGGGCAACAAAGAAGTGGATTGGGGCAGTGAGTAAAGACATGACTGCCTATAATTTGAATAAAAATTGTCCCAAAACCTTACAAAATAGGTTCTACATAGATCTTAAGTATACGTAGTAGCAAAATTTTGCAACAGCAAAGACAACTTCCATGAGATTCTTGATCTCTAAAAATTTACATTAGGTGTATAATCAAATTTCAACATATAATGCTCTGGCTAAATCAAGTGAAAGACGAAACAAGACAATAAAAACCAGAAAGTAAAATAAATAAAAATTTTAAAACAAGCAACAAACATAGGTAAAGATGTCATAATCAAATAGAATAGTACATTAAGATTAACCTAATTCAGAATGAATTAAAGAACAAAACATAAAGAAACCCTGACTCACATAGCCAAGCAATGCAGATAGGACCAAGAACATGAATCCTGTAAGTGTAATCTGAAAAATAAATAGCATCGCCGATTAGTAAACAAGCAAGGAAAAAATCCTAAAATGAAACATACATATCATGACAAGATAAAAATGGTCATCAAAGAATATTTTACCATATTGGGTCTGGGAAAGCATCCAGATTATGTAGACACAAAACAAAGAACCTGTTAGTGACCTCCAGTGAATAACTAAAAGATTTGCTCAAAAAAAAAAAAAAAAATCCCATAAAAGACATTAGCAAAACAGAATAGTCAGACAGAAAAAATACTGCCAACAACCTAGAGCTTTTTGTTCCCAACTTCCTATGGGCCTGTTTGGAATGTGTTATGATATGTTTGGGACGGCTAATATTGGTTTGGAATAGCTCATAACATCTCAGATTTTTTGGCCCAAACCCATATCACCAAATTGGTGATATTGTGTTTTGGTACTGTAGCGGAGGAACTAAAGCAAATTTCTGAATTTCCCAAAGCAAATTTCTGAATTTCCCAAAACAAATTTTCGTTACCAAACATGGTTCCGATTTCTACCTAAAACACTCCTACAACAAAACGGTTGTTTTGGTATTGACCAAAAATATAACGCCTAAAACATATTGCATGTCAAACAGACCCTATAAGGCTGCTCTATTGGATACTGCGGTAGTTAAAGGTATTCTTAACCTCAGATCCAATATGAATGCAAAAAACAAGTTTATAGTATCCAAGTTTGGTCAAATCTACAAGTAAGAATAGAAATAAAAATAAATTAAAACTAACAGTGACAAGAATCAAACACCTGATCTCTCCCCTCCCTTTTAGATGTCATTTTTACCACTATGCTACAATGGATTTTGCAACCAGAGCAAGAGTATTACTTATAAGCTACAAAGCTTGAATACGTTCAGAGCTCGGACACGTCTAAAGATATGCGGTGCTACATGCATTAGTATATTTTAAATGAGAATTGCCAAATGACAGTACCAAAATGTCCATCAACCTAATCAGATCAAGACCTTAGAAGACTTTTGAATAGTGCTATTTTATATTAAAGACACCAACCTTCCATGACATGGTATCCCACAGCAGAAATCAAAGTTTTCAAAAAGAAGTTGCTAGAGAAAAATAGGAAGAACTGTTGAAATGCATAATCCCATATCAAAGCCAAATGGGTTAAGGATCAAACAAGGATTTGCTCGATTATACAGTTGACTGTTCTCAAACTCCTCCATGCTTTGCATGATTCAGCTCAAAGTCCATTAACAAGAACCAATATGATTTTATAACCTGAAACCAATTTCTTGTGATTCAACAGAGTGGCGCTAAATTGGGAATACATTTGAAACTGATCTACCAACACAGTTCACTATAGACTTGCAATACGTATGATATATGGACACTGTATTCTTGCAGATTTTGAGTCATATAAGAAAATTAACTATATAATAACAATATTCTAGTCTTATGAATCTAAATCACTGTGGATTCTCAAGTATACAAGGTTTGGAGAGGAAAGGATTATGTGAGCAAGGCAGGCTTATTTTAAAGAAGATGTTATAGAAGAAAGTGACCAAATTTTACTTCAATGACCCTTTTCTACAGAAATATATATATATAAATTAACCCTAGCCCGCCAATACATAAAATTTCAAATTCCACATTTCAGGATTGAAATTGTTATATAATGTAGAGAATTTTTTCCATTTTTTTTTTCTTTTCCTTGTGTTTCTTAAAAAAATGATGCATTTAAGTAGCTATAGTAAGATTTCAAATTTTCTTTACTTTCTTCAACTTTTCAGCAACAAAAAGTAACAATAATACAAACAGAAGCAAGTATAACAAAAATAAATAAATAAATCTTATACCAAAAAAATTAAAAGAAAAGCTGACCAACATAATTTTCTATCCTAGAATATAAATGGTAAATCAATCAAACACTTACGGCATCCAAAGTGGGAAGAAATTAACGAAGCGACTCCAAAAGGGTTGCAATACATATTTAGCAACATAAGAATTATCCACTCCACTGTACTTGTATCTATGCAGTGCAGCAACACCATGAGCCCCAATATATCCCATTGCATACAAATAATATCACTCTGTATACCCTGTTCATATCATTCACAAGACTGAGCCATCAAAATCGATTCAAAAATGGTGCTAAAAACAGAACAAGAACAACCCACCAAAAAATATGCATCATGCACACACATATATGAACATTTTAATAATACAAGAACATCCCACCAAAACAATATACATCATACACACACATATGAACATTTTTGTGTGTATATGCATGTATGGAACAACCAGAACAGCAAAAATGAACAACTTACGATAAAATATGTATTGGGTGAACACAAAAAAGTATCAAAAGAGAACAGGAAAACAAGAAAGAAGTGAAAAACTGAACAGATCTAAGAAAGCAAAGAAAAAGATGTGTATTGGACAATTGATTAAAAAAAAAGGGAAAATATGAATAGAAACTTTACCCTGCTGAATTGCAGAGATCGAACAAAGTGAGAGAGATCAATGAATCAAACTTCACATAAAAACTGATGTGAAGCGATTTCTTGTCTCCCGCCCCAAAGTTGGGAACAAAAGGAGTTAAGAAACTTTTTACGCAAAGTTTTTGGGATATTTTTAAAATGAACGAATAAGAAAAAGGGAAAAATTTTGGTATATTTTTTAAATGAACGAATAATGAAAATGGAAAGAATTTAACTTTCCGAAAATATAATAATAATAATATGGAAAGAACAAATGTGTTTTTTTTTTTCTCTTTATTGTTTTTGATTTGCAAAAAAAAAAATTGTCACAAATGTTCAGCACCCAATAAAGGTTGAGTTGTTCAAGGCATATGGTCCATGAAGCTTGAACAACTCAAGGCACATGTTGAAGGCAGTTGTTCAAGTTTCTAGAGGTTGAGTTGTTTTTGTTGAATGAGTCTGATCTTTGTAATCACTAACAAACTATATTGAAAATTTTAATTTTTATTTAAAATGTGCGCTTAAAAAATTATTCACTGCAACCATTATAATAGTAATGTGGTGCAATAAAGGATAATATAATCATTGTAATAATAACGTGGTGCAATAAATGATTACAATAACTTTACCAAAATATAAACGAAATCCATGATGTTCCAAAGTTGGAATCTTTTCCTGTGGGGCTTCAACATGTTACCACTCTGCAACAACTATATATTACATTTTGTGACAATTTGATGGCTTTGCCCGAGTGGGATAGGCAACCTCTAGAAATATAGGTCTACCTTAATTTCTTCCTTTATGATTTGATCCTTTCTTTAGTACAATTGTCTAATATCTTCATACTATATGTTTGGATAGTTGACTGATCATACTGTATTTGATAATCGTATTTCTTTATATAATGTTGGTTGTTTAGTATTTTAAATTTTTGTATATCTTAGATGTAGTTATGAAGTATGGTTAATATTTCAAGTGCTTTTCATATCTCAGATATAATTATTAAGTGTTTTAAATTTTAATATAGATCTTAAGATTTGGTTGTACATGTTTATATTAATTAATTAATTGACCCCTTCATGGTTTTGACCCTGACCTTGAATTGGTAGAACCCTATTCAAGCTGGTTCAATTCATGGTCAAACCATTAAATTAAGAGAATATTCCAGACAATTAAATAAACACATGGTGGTTCAGCTTTATACTATGTTTGGCAGAGTGAAAATGAAAAAAAAAATATAACATTAATTGTAAAAAGAAATAAAATGAGAGAATAGTATTAATCATTTAGTCTGTTTGGTTGATTAATAAAGAAAATAATTGTAATCATATTTTGAAAAGAACAAAAAATAATAATATTTTAATAAATTTACAATCATACTCTTTTTCATAAATTTTGTCTTTTATAAATATAAGGGTAAATTTAGTATAAAAAAGTTTTATCAAAAATGCTAATATTTTTTTCTATTTCCTCCCATTTTTAGGAAGATAAGAAAAACCAACTTATCAAGCTTTCATTACTTCCTCCAAATCATTCCGTCTCCTTTCTGTTCTTGTCAAAATTTTATACCAAAAAAATAATAATAATAAAAAACCTCCACTTCCTTTGTTTCTTTTCCTTCCATTTTTTTTCCAACCAAACTGGGCCTTAAAGGCTGGTTTGGTTTCCATAACCACTAAAGAGACAATTTTGATTAGTTCACCTAAAATTACTACCAAAATCTACCCGTTTTTGCTTAGAAAAGGCTGCATTTGACTGTATGAAATGTATATTTTGTAATTAAAATTACTAATCCCTTTGAAGTTAACTTTCCAAAAATTCCCCTGTTAATTGTTCAAGACATATGGTTTATGAAGCACGGACACTCCTGAAAGGGGTCTCAAACTAGTGTCGAACACGTGTCCGACACTTTTGTGAAATGTCCAAAATTATTTTTTATTGAACACGAATGGGACATGCAAAAGACACGTACTAAACAGGGCGGGGTATATTTTGTAATTTCTTTAAAAAAAATAAGATACCTAATGTAATTTTAAATATTTAAAAGTAAAATTTTTAAATTTTTAAAAAACAACTGCACATTGTTGGAAATATACTTGATCTTGTTTGTCTAATTTTGTTGGTAATTTTGCTTGGTTCTTAATTGCTTAGACAGTGAATTAAAGTATTTCTTTTATTGCTGTATTTTTTTGGAGAGGTTAGATTTACGGTATTGTAGATTTTGAATATATAATTATATATATTATTTCGTTGGTGTATTACTGTCGTGTTCGTGTCCGATTTTGTTTTTAAAAATTTGCAATGTCATTGTGTCGTGTTGTACCTGTGCTTTATAACATATGATAAATCGTAAAATATTTTAAGAGGTCCGACACTATCATTGATAAAAAAATAATAATAATAATAAATTTATGAATCATATTAGTTCAAATTTTATTATATCATGTGGAACATGGTATACATTTTTTTTAACATGTAAAGATTTTTTTTTTTTTGGGAAGGTTTTAACATGTAAAGATGTGTTCAACTAGAGCGAGAGTTATCCAAGAACACCCTTTTCAAAAGTTCTTCCAGAACATTTTCAGATTTATGCAAAAGTCTGCAACTTCCGGATTCCGGTGGTGGAGCTACAGTACCCCATTCTTTAAAAATAATAATAATAATTATTATTATTATGATATGACTATGAGTGGCAATTCGTGTTCCTGGATTGTATTCGTATCGATGTAAGGGTATTATATTGAATAGGTAAATTCAAACCCAATTTATTTAATAATCGTGTCAAGAATTTTCAACACTAACACAACCCGTTTATTAAACAGGCAACGTGTTAACCTATTTAGTGACCTGTTTATTAATCAAATACTAAATAATAGAAAGAAAAAAAATTATCATAATTAACCCAAATATTCAAAATAAAAAGAAAAATAATAAGTTATAGACAAGGTTTATGTTGAAATGACTTAACTATTTATAGTAATTGGGTTTAAACATATAACATATTACATAGGTCATTTTCACGATTATAACATGTTAAATTAAATGGGTCATAAATAGGTTACACGAGTTGAATCCCTCAACCTTAACCCGACATGGTTAAATAAACGAGTTAATCGTGTCGACACTTTTATGATCAAAACTCGTTTATATTAAATTCAAATCATTTTAACTCGTGTCGTGTTTATGTCATATTATCGTGTCGTGTCATAATTTACCCCCTTAGATATGACTCGTTAAAAATAATTATTTTATAAATAAACCTAACTTATGATCCCAAAGTTAATTGAAAATTTCAATTGCCTCCCTCCCAAATAACACCAATTTCTATTAGCTCGAAACTCAGAATATTCCAACCCCATGGGGTAAAATACAAGACAATTTGTATTAGTGTCAAGGTTTTGGTGAGATTTAAATAGTGAATTTAAACAGTGAGGAGATTCGATCCCAACACTCGATACAATATGATTTAACCAAACACCAAAACCCCGTCATACCAAGTATATATGTAATTTAATATACCCACACTCACCATGTGCGATGAATAAAGACTATAAATTATTCTTACTGAAATGGTATTTTTCTAGTAACGAGCATTGTTGTTGGACCATATTTTGACTCTATCATAAGCTTCAGATTTACTTTCATTTTAGTAATTTTTATAGGTTGGATGCATATGTGCTTAACTCGAGAATATGTGTTTATTTTATTTAAATATTTGTTATATTGAGGGAATAATTTAAGCATGCACACACATCAAAGCGACGAATATATCCTGGAATCACGTTTCCTCAACTTGCAATATTAAGTGCCCACTTCAACTTTATTACATTTTGTGGTCACCTTTCTTTTGTATGCAACTTATCACATTCAAACATTTTTTATTTATTTTTATTTTTTTGTCATTGTCAAAAAAAAAAAACTCACACACCCCCACCAATCATGTATCCATTTTACTCTTTTAAAAATTCGAACCTCCATTCACCTTGAGAGAAAATATTAAATGGTCCAGCTTCATAAACACTTGATAGACTAATTCGATTTAAACTCTTTAAGTGAGAAAATGACCATAGAAAAATATATTGATATATTATAAAAAAAACTCGATAACGATCTAGATTTAAATGGTACATTACCAAAGTAGAGGAGATACCACTGGCCACATGGCCCTTGATTTTTTATTCTTTTTTCAATTACTTTTCAACCTTGTATTGCAAAATAGTGCTAGTAATGGTCTTAAACTCTTAATTGATAAAAGAATTGCTTCATACAAGGCAGCTCGATGCAGCAAGTAAAATAGTATACAGAGATGGGTGGGAGTTCTATTTAAGTATTCGCTTCACTGAGCTGTGGCAAATAAAGAGACCCTCGCCGGGGTACAGCAGTATTCATGAAGAAGAAGAAAAATGCTCAGCACCTTTTGATTGATATTTCTTGGCCGAGTTTGGAATCAAAAAGATCGGGCAGCGCGCTCACTGAAAGAAATGACGGGTGTGACTCAAAATAAATATATCCCCAATTGAGTGACAAATTTACAATTTCAAGGACATCCAATTATTTCAACGTAAAATATTTTTCTTGAAAAATATTTTTTTTTCAAGTAAATATATATATATATATATATATATATATTCAATTTTTGAAAAAGATCTAAATTAAATCCATCAGGGGCATGTAAAATAACTTGCTAAAAATTGATAAGTAAGCTATTTTCGACATATTTTATTAATATTTTTTTATTTGTAAACAACCAAACACAAAAAAATGTAAAAAAATAATAATTTTTAAAAATATTTTGCATCCAAACAAATAAGCCCAGACGAAGAATGTGAAACCTAAATATGGAAATGTATAAGAAGAAAATTTTTAAAATGTAGAAGAAAGCACTTAAATACATTTGTATGATTTCTCATGTCATAAGAGGAAACTATGTTAAGGACTGCTATTGCTGGTGATGGGCCGAACTCCATAAAATCCAACTCCAAACTCAAAATTTGACCCAGGCCTGTGATGCCAACCCATTACCTCTGTTGGATCAGTTTATATCTTTATTTGAAAAAGAAGAACTGAATGAATTGTTTTTTATTTTTATTTTTTATTGATAAATGTAAAATTGGAATTCAATTGTTATAAAAATAGGGGCAAATTTTAATAATTAGTAACTCTCCTATCTCTTTTTTTTTTTTTTTTCATTATTTAAAGAATAAGAAAGTGTGCAACGGATTAAAGCCATCTGCACCAGTCTCTCCAAATTTTGGCTCTCTAAAAATAACACTTCAGCTTTTCTAAGAGTCATGTCAGCAATTCCAAGAGTTACGTCAGTAGCTTTCGCCCTCCAGAAACATGCACTCTATCAGACTCTCCGAGTTTTCGCTCTAAAAAAAATAACAATAATAATAATAATAATAATTAAACAGTTATATTTCTAACAGCTATATTTTTCATCTTATATAATGAATACTTATTTACTCATCTGAAAATCATCACTACATTCATCTCTTTTCATTGTAATAAAATATCATTATCCATCTTTTTCAATTTGTAAATTCCAATGGCTTCGTCATCATAAGCTATTCCTTTGGCAGACTCTAATTCTTCATCTTCCTCATCATCCTCTTCGAAAGATGACTCTATTACCGCATTGATTCAACAGAATCAAGACGAATTTCTATGAGATTATGAATACAGTGAGGCCAGAGATAGTTGAGCAAGTATTTCAAGTCCGTAATAAGAAGCGGTACATTAATCGTGACCGAGAGAGAAGCCACCATCAGCTAACGAAAGACTACTTCGACGAGAATTGCACATATACATCAGAGTACTTTCACATGTGATTCAGGATGCGATAATAACTTTTTCTTCGTATCCTTAATGATGTCAAAGCTTATGATGACTACTTTGTCCAAAAAAGGACGCGACTGGTCGTCTGGGGTTGTCTTCTATACAGAATATGACAACTATTGTTCGTATACTCGCATATGGTTGTGCAGCCGATCACTATGATGAGTATATTAAAATCGGCAAGAGCACTGCCATTAAATGCTTGAAGGCATTTTGTGATGCTATTGCTGCTATGTATACAGAGGAGTATATGTGCCCACCCAACGAAGCCGACATAGCACGACTGCTTGAAAAATGGGAGCAGAGAGGATTTCCGGGTATGCTTAGTTTTATCGACTGTATGCACTAGGAGTGGAAGAATTGCCCAGTGGAGTGGCACGGCACACATAGGGGACACTTTGGTAAGAATACTCTCATATTGGAAGCAGTTGCCTTACAAGATTTGTGGATCTGGCATGCATTATTTGGAATGCCGGGTTCCCACAATGATATAAATGTGTTAGATCATTCCCCGGTATTCAATTGTATCGTTAATGACCAATTACTTCCGGTTTATTATGCAGTGAATGGACATCACTATAGAATAGGATATATCCTAAGTGGGCAACTTTGATGCAGACCATCCCGCACCCAACCACTGGAAAAGAAAAATTGTTTGCTCAGCGACAAGAGGCATGCAGGAAAGATGTGGAACGGGCTTTTGGGGGTATTGCAAATCAAGTGGGGAATAACGCAAGGACCAGTACGTTACTAGGAGAAAGATGACTTGCACCTAATAATGAAAGCGTGCATCATCTTTCACAATATGATCATTGAAGATGAGCGTCACGCAAATGTTGGAAGATTGACTCCGCCACTGGAGGATGCAATCCCGATTCTTACTTTAAGTCGATGGCCATCGGTTTTAGTGACACACATATTTTCTCGCCAACTTCAGATTCGTAACAAAGAGACAAATACGCGGTTGAGAAATGATTTGACGAAAAATTTGTGGAACCGTTATGCTGATGAATATGTTTAATTTATGTTGTATTTTGTTTACTTTTAAGATGTTATGACATTTTGTGTATTAGAATTTTTATTATGTAATGGTTTTTTAAGATTAAAAATAATGAATTGGAATAAGAAAATAAGGATTACAAAATCCTATGGGAATAAGTAAATGAATTTGTAATTTTAATTGTTTTTTTTAAAAAAAAAAAATTATAGTCGTTAAGGCACTATTTGTGTCAGCCAAACAGTGCCTTAACGGCCAAATGCATTGTTTGTGATACACATTTAAAATTTAAAGCAAAAAGTAAAAAATAAAAACAAATTTTTAGGGGAAAAAAAAGAAAGGTTTTAAAATTTATTTTTGGCCCAAATAATTTATTTTTGGACAAACAGTGCCTAAACAATATATTTTTTATTTAATGAATTTTATTTATTTATTTATTTTTAAAAGAAGAGCTCAAAATAATCTATTAAGGCACTGTTCAACCACTGTTTAGGACCGTTTGAAAAAAAAACAAAAAAGGCAACCGTAAAACGGCGCCGTTTTGCTAAAGAAAAAAACAAAAAAATATATATAACGTCTCGGGAGTCAGCTTCTTTGCAAGCCAGACCTATACAACCTTTTCTCCGACAAAGAAAGAAAGCATCGCGGGCCGGCTCGCGAAAATAACGAGCCGGCCAGCGAGGCAAAGTGGGCCCCACAAATTTAAGCTAGCCCGCTGCGCGGCCAAAGGGCCAATCTCTCGCGAAAAATGGGCTTTAACTAGCCCGCTGCATTTTTGCCCAAAACTGTTTGGCAAACCTAATAAGAATAATCACCAATGATTACATTGATAGCCAAAATTATGTAGAGTTTAACATTAATTATTCATGCGAATGATATCTCTCGTTTAATAGGTTCCTTGATTTATGGGCTTGGGATTGTCAATTAATTTATAGGTCTGCAATTGTACTTAGATTTCCTTAATTTATGGGTTTGAGATTGTAGCTTTATTGATATAAATCCTATACAAGAAATACAAGTATGTATGGGCAAATCACATTTATTGTGAGTCTTTTCGCAATAAATCGATAGATATTTTTTGAAAAAATAATGTTATACTTAACATAATGTATCCATCATTCTTATCACTCTCCACCCGTTTAAAGTACCCCTGACTTAACGTTTAAGCTCACATTTAAATTATAAAGAGTCATATTGAATAAAATATATTAAATAAATATTAGATTAAGGGTAAAGTATAGAAAATCTTCCTCGACTTGTAATCTTTTCCAATAAATCTCTTATCTATTTTTTTATTTATTAAAGAACCCCTTTCAACCTGTAACATTTTTCCAATAAATTCTCCTTGTCTAATTTCCTCAATTATCTGAAAGGGTAAATGAGTTGATATTTGGACAAAAAATATCATTTTATTTAAATTTTAATTCTCCTAAATTTTAAAAATTTATAGCTCACAAACCGTACATTTAAAAAATTGTAAATAATAAATGCACGGAAAGCTTATGAAATAAGAATTCCAGAAATATAAAATTTATACAACAAACTTTCATAACCAGAGAGAAATAGGCAATCTAAAAATTTACTCCAATAATTTTATTTTATTTTAAAAAAATAAAATACTCAACATATTTGTAAGCAAATTTTCAGAATTATTCATTTACATATAAAGCTGAATATATAAAAAATTTAGCCCCAACAGAATTCAATTCTATGAGATATTATATTTTACGTCAAAGTATTTTCATTCTTTTATAGACTCACCATTTAAAAAATAAAAAAATAATAAATATTCGGTCCCTATTGGGGCTATTTTTTTTTTATATATATGTTATGCTTCATATGAAAATGAATAATTTTGAAAACTTATTTTTTCTTAATTGGTACTCACACACACGTGCCTCCACCAAGGCTCGAACCCCTGACCTACCTTTGGGAAGTAGAAGTTTGGTACTGTTATGCCACTGGCTTGTTGGTAATTTTAAATTTTTTTTTGCAAAAAACCCGAGTATTTTATAAAAAATAAATAAAATAAGATTGTTGCTGTAGATTTTTAAATTGTCTATTTCTTTCTAGTTAAAGTTTTGTTAAACAAATCTTATATTTCTGAAATCCTTGTTTTATAAGCTTTCTGTACATATATTATTTGTAATATTTGGATGTATGGTTTGTGAGATGTGAATTTTTGAAATTCAAAAAAATTAAGATTTAAATAAAAGTGCATTTTGGTCCAAATATCAACTCTTTTACCCCGTTAGATAGGGCTGCAACTCAAGTGGGTCGGGCAGGTTTGAGGTATAACTTGAGCCCAACCCACCATATGAATTGCTAAACCTAAGCCCAACCCTAACTCAATCCTCAATCTTAACTACTCAACCTGAACCTAACTCATCCTTCTACTTTTAAATTAAGGCTTGGAAGTCGAGCTTAGATTCAGAGTAAAATATTTGGGTTAATTATATGACTAATCTTCAAACTGGAAATTTATTGTAATCTTAAATTAGTTTTAGATAAAATTACTCTTAAACAATAAAAAGTTTAAAGATATTTTGAACATTTTTAATAAATTACAAACAGATCCTTAAAAAATTAATTCTCCTAAATTTTAACACACAATAATCTAAGATTTAACCAAGGAAGTTGAAAAGAAAAAAGGTTATCATAGGTTAAATATTATATATAATGTATTTAAAAGTAAAATTATATATGAAAATAATATTAGAATTCAGGTTCGGGTTGGCTCGGATTGTTAGCACTTTAACTCAAATCCAACCCTATTTAAATTCGGGTTGGTATTTTTCAACCCAAGCCCAAACCTAATTATAAAAATAATTGCCCAAGTCTTTGCAAAATTGGACTGGGATCGGGTTAAGTTCGGGTTGCCCAACTCAAGTTGTACCTCTATGTAATGACCCGGATTTTCACGAATATTTTTTTTCCGTTGTCTTTCCTTTCTGAGTTCAGTTCCTCTTCGCTTAGTGTCGTCTCTTGTGCTCTGGAGTGATTTCCGAAACTCTTTTCTGTGGATTGACAACTTCCTTTGAGGACCAAGTCGTTTCCACATTTTTCGTTTTTCGACACTATTCACTTTTCGTCCTTTTCCCTATTTCGTCCTTTTCCCTATTTTGTCTTTTCCCCGTTTGACACTTTGTTGGCATAACCATACTTCTTGTGTTCGAAGTTGGTTTTTGATTTCATGTATCTCTATCTTGAGTGGTTTCCAGGAAATACGTATCTTTATTTTTGCAAGAAAATACTCTGGTTGCTCCCGGTATCCATAGCGGCATGGATGCAAAGTTCTTTGAAATTATTTTCTTTTCTTGGGGTGTTTTTCGTAAATATCTTTTGAAGATATTTTATTTCAGGGGTTTTAAAAAAAATATTTTTGGAAGATATTTTCATTCTGGGCCATTAATGCAGTTTTCACTTTTTAGAGGGGCCATTGTGCAATTAATGAAAGTTATTACTAAATGCCTTGTTTTGAGCCTAGATTCTCGTACGGGATTCATTTTCACTTTTCGTTGAGTCGTGTACTCTTATAAATTATTTCTAGTCATTATTTTCCAGTTTCAGGGTTTTTGGCCCCAGTTAGCGCCAAATTTGTTTGGGGCATAACTTTCTGCTCGGGACTCGGTTTTTGACTCCGTTTCTTCCGTTATTCATATTTTCTCATTTTGAATCTTTTTCGTTCACAGAGTTTTGTCATTTGAGCGCGTCTGTTCAAATTTCACTTTTTCGGACCCGGCGGGGCCCGTTCGGGGCACTTTATGAGATTTCTATAAAAAGGGGGTGAGATATTTTTATTTTTTCATCTTCCCCACTCTCTTGCACGACCTGAAGCTTCCATGGCAGCCCAAGGGAGGCTGCCACCTTCTCTCTCCTCTTTTGAGCTTCATTCCTTCGTCAGAACATAGAAGGGCCTTTGCGTTTAGTGTTCGTGTTGACTACGCGCTTCTTTCACCTTTATTAGAACCTATTTCTGACCATTTTTTGAGTTTGGGTTTAAAGTTAAGTTGTGATTTTGATGGGGCTTCCTTGGGGGTTATGTGCACGGTGTAGTCCCCGACAAAACCAAGAAGTTTCGTCAGATTCGGAGTGGTTTCCATTTGGTGGCTTTTGAGATTTTCATCTCAAATTGAGGTAGGGAATGTTCTAGGCTTTTGTGTGTGTTGTATTGAGTGTTTAGCATGATTATACAACTTAATTGTATGCCTTGTATCAATTCTAAAAAATTAGTATTAATTATTTCTTTGTATGAAATTTAATTCACAAGGATATGTATAACTTAAAATGGAATTGTGGCATGCTAGAAAATCATGTTTTAATAGGTTTGTTAACATATATTAAATTGTGATTAATTGAATAAGAATTGCACTTTTTATTTAATATTTATCTTTGGTGAAAGATTAAATCTCATGGCCATACTTTTAATGAAATGAACTTGTAGTATGCTTTTAAATTAAGTCTTAGCATGTTTGGTAATATAATTTAATTTGAGAGTATTTGGACAAGTATGAAAATCTAGAGATTTTAAATTAAATGATTAATTAAAATCTATTTAATGGTTCCCTTGGCCCAATTAAGTTTTTTATTTGATAATCATGATGACTAGAACTTGTGTACTAGTATATATTAAATTGGGACCATTTGAAGTTGCTTTGAAATTTAGAAGTTTAATTATCATGATATAATTAAATTCTACCTTGTTGTGCCATTGGCCTAATTGAGATTTTAGTGAATGTATGTATATACTATGCTATATTGTATAATATGCATTAATTAGGGGCCATTTGATTGAGATTTGAAAGCTAGGGAATTTAATTAGTTTATTTGATTAAATTCCGTTTCTATTGCTTTAATGATTAAATCCTGAAATTGACATTGATAGTATGTTTGAAGTATGATTTTAAACTTGTAATAGATTTATAAATTATGTTTTCAATATTGGATTATATTGTTATAGCGTATAGCGAATCGCACATTGAAGATTCGACATGTGATGTTATTATAACGCGTAACGAATCGCG